TTCAGTTTTCTTATGTCTATATAAACTTCTAAAGTGATATTTCATATTACTCACTATTAATTTTAACCAACGCATGATCATGACGTACTAATTGAAGTGGTAATGCATGATTAGGTATTGCTTCTTGTTGTGGGTGTGGGTGTAGGTGTGAGTGTAGGTATTATTTTCATGTCACACTCACCCGCACTGACCCTTAAGACGTTAGTCGGTTACTTTTCTGATATTTAAAGAAAATTAGAAAATACAAAATCGTAAACATTTAACTGATTATATCAATTATTTGGAATCCATGTATATCTATGTAGTCTATCGAAGTCTGTCGGAGACTCGAGCTTTATTGAGGACGGAGTTAAACAAATGCACGGCAGAAAGGCAGACATCACTTCAAGATCGTGGCAGATCCTGGTAAACCCTGATAGACTTTAAATGACTTATTATAATTATAGAGATATATCTATGAAAGCTTTGAATTATTTGTAATTCATTTTCATCATGAAATCGTTGTTATACTGAAACTAGTCGACGTTATTTTTCTTCTCATTTTTCATGCTGTATTAGTTGTAAAATAAAAATATCACTGATTAAAGAGTATGATCTAGGTGTGTCGAGGGTAATTCTATTTTCGATTTGTATGTATTTATATTTTTTTATAACTATTCGATGTTTTTCTTATGCTAATGTACACTTGTATCGCAATAAAACTATATTCAATAGTCAAAAAGGATATAATCAAGCAGATGATATTTATATGAGAGAAGAAAAAAAGTCAAGTGGATAATGAAGCTATGATGATTTATTAATGTATTTTTAATGTAAAAATGCAACTATAAAATCATAGATTTATTTATCAGAAGGGATAGTTAAATAAGGATTATAATCAAAACCTTATTCATGGCTAATACTATAGTAAATAGTATCGAAGATTTCGATAATTCCAGACAGTAAGATATAGTTTTATTAACAAGAAAAAAAAGTATTTATTGATATTTTTAGAAAATTATTTAAATTGAAGTGGTTTGTTGTGAGTCTTGGTATTATCACTAGTCTTTTTATTATTGCGACAATTGTATTAGCTATTCTATTTGGTATCGAACGAAATAAAACAAAACCTGATTCATTATTTGTAGTAAATAATACAAAACCTGACCCATTATTTATAGTAAATAATACAGATGGAATTTGTTCAAGTTCATATTGTATCAAAGCAGGTTAATATTCATTTTGAATTTAAAGAAAATATAAATTCTCTTTCTGTTCTCTAGCGAATACGTTTCTTGAGAGTATCGATGAAACAGTGGATCCATGCGAAAATTTCTATCAATTTACTTGTGGTACATGGATTAAAAATACACGAATACCAGAAGATAGTAATATCATGATTGTAATAACAACTAGATCTTTCTTCTTTATTTAGGTAGTGATCGAAATAGATTCGAAACGTTACAAACTGAAGTTACTTATGATGTTATAGATATTCTTTCAACATCATCATCCACTAATGATACTATCTCTGTTATCAATGCTCGTAAATTATATGCATCATGTATCGATGAAGAAACTATTGAAAAAAATGATGTCAATGAAATACTCTCATTGATTGATAGAGAATTCGGTGGTTGGCCAATTTTACAAGAATCAATATGGAATGAATCAAAATTTGATTTAATTCATTTATCAGTTAAACTAAGCCAATACAAAAGCTTTCCATTATTTTATGTGCTCACTGATACTGATGAGAAAAATTCTTCTATGAATTGTATCTATGTCAGTATAGAATAAAAGAAATTTTCCTTGATTCTATATATATATTTTAGATGGGTCAAGGTAGTCTCGGTCTATTCGATCGTAGTTATTATATCAATGAAAGTGAAATCACACGAAGTTATCGACAATTTATCAAAGGAATAGCAATGGCATTTACTAATAATTCATCAATAAATGATACTGATGTCGACGAAATATTCGATTTTGAAAAAGCCATTGCTGAAGTATTGTATTTCTTAAATATATATATATTCTCTTTCTCGTAGAGAAGAGTCCAGTAAACATAAATTGTCTACTTGATTGATTGTCTGTCCGCAAGGTCAAAAAAACATCGAAAACTAATTTTCGGAAAACGACATTTCTAGAAGTAGTTTGATGCGGGGAGTTCGAATCTGATGTTACTTTTTTTGAAACTTTTTTGAAAAAAGCAATTTTTTAGACAAAGGACTATTTTTTTACAGAAATTTTTTTTTATATAAAATTTGGCGAAATGGTTTTTGAGGTCGGGAAACACGAATCTGATGTTAGTGTTTGCAAGTTATATAAGCAAAAGGTTCCGTAGTATTGTAGAACACCATTTCTACGAGAAAGAGCTAAGCGAGTCCTTAGACGAGCGTTACTTGTAAATTTATTGACTCATTTAATTTAGAATTTCTTGAATACAGCCGGACAACATGAAGGTCTATTTAATCGTACAAATTTCGGTAATCTCTCAACTTTAATGAATACATCAGTAAGTATTGTATGTATTTTCACATCTATCTATTTTTTTATATATCTATACAGTTTGATTTTACTGATTATCTTCAACGTGCTTATCTTCTTGGAAATGTTACTCTCAATAATACAGATATAATCAATATTGGTGAATTGAAAGTTTTGCGTAATATCTCGATGATTATTAAACAAAATTCACCCCGTACAATTCAGAATTATTTAATATGGCGTTTTATTATCAATCAAATTGGTCATATGCCAAAACGATTTCGAGTGATTCAACAACAATTTTATAGAATATTTATAGGTACTGCAATTGAAAAACCTCGTCCAATTAAATGTGCAAATTATGTAAATAGTAATATGGGAATGGTAGTATCAAGACTTTATATTATGAAAAAATTTGATAAATATTCACGTCAAGAGGTAAATCAATTAATACTGACCGGATCTTTGTCATATTATTTTTTCTATATAGTCTATGGATATGATCAAAAATATTCAAAATGAATTTACTAACATGATTAATCAATCAGATTGGATGGATCCTTCTTCGAAAACTGTTGCCATAGAAAAAGTATGTATAACAAATGATTTTTCATTTTACATTTTAACAATTATGTAGGTTCAACTTGTTCAGCAAAGAGTTGGTTATCCTGATGGACTAGATAGTGATAATATAACAAATCTTAACAAAATTATGCATCAGTATGTTATGAAAAAAAAGAAATTACTTCTTACTAATTCATAAATCTAAATATAGTACATCTTCAATTCATCATATATGCAAAATATCTTAACTATGTTACAAATAAATGCTCAAAATAATTTTTATAAACTTCGTAAATCTGTAGATCGAAATGATTGGGCATATGCGGCCCCTACTGATGTCAATGCTTATTATGATGCATCATTTAATGATATTAGTAATAAATCTATTTGATTTATATTATATTTGTCTCTTTTTAGTTATTACCGCAGCTATTCTACAAGCCCCTCTCTTTAGCAAAGATGCACCAAAGTAAAAAAAACATTTTCTAGAATTAAAAATTCATCAATTTTCTATTTTTAGATATTTGAACTATGGTGGTAAATAGAAATTCATTTGATTGAAAAACAAGAGAGCTTTTTAATTTTCTTTATAGGTATCGGCGTAGCTATAGGTCATGAATTAACACATGGTTTTGATGATATTGGTCGACAATTTGATAAGAACGGTAATAGACTTCCTTGGTGGACGAATGAAACAAGTAATGCATTCGACAGAAAGAAGAAATGTATGATTGACCAATATAATAATTATACAGTAGCTCAAGTCAATATATCGGTAATATTGTGTTTAATTATAGATTGTATATATAAACTGATTTCTATTATTTAGATTAGTGGCGAACAGACATTAGGTGAAAATATTGCTGATAATGGTGGATTAAAAGAAGCTTTTCTTGTGAGTTATAAGATGTTTTCATTTCAACTTGATTTCTTGATTTTTTTAGGCTTATCAAAATTGGGCTCGAATAAATCCAAATATGGATAAAAAACTACCGGGATTAACAAAATATTCAGCAGAACAAATGTTTTTTATGAATTTTGGTTTAACATGGTGTGCAAAATTAAAAGATCAAGCGGCAAGACTTCAAACTCAGATAGATGTACATGCACCTAATCAATTCAGGTGAGTTTTATATCATAAAGTTTATATTAAAACATTTCTTTTTTTCTTTTCAGAGTACTTGGTTCAACATCAAATTTTGCAGAATTTGATCGAGTTTTTGGATGTAAACCAATGCAAGGAAATAGTCGAGAGAATAAATGTCAAGTTTGGTGATATAAAAATTTCTTTTAATCCCGATTTTTAGTTTGAAAAACTATTTTCTTGAATTAATTAATGCTTAACTATTCTAATTTTTCAATAAAATATAACTACAAGTAGATGCAATATTGATTTTTCTCATGTGAGACAGAATCGAAATCGATATGGTTAAAATTAGATCAATTAATATTTTATTTTATGGATTTTGAATGAAATCGGTATCAGTGTGTATCATATGCAAAAAAAAAATGCTTTCGGCTATTCTCACCTTTAATATTATTGATTAGACGCCTACAGCTGCATAGGCCTATTAATTTGAAAAAGGTGACAGGTGTGATCTTTTTTTTTCTTTTTGTGAAGGTTAAATATCACCTGTATCAATTCATACATATAATTATTCGACACTGTTATTGTTATTCATTTTATATTATTCTAACATCGACATGTTATACCAAGATATTGATGACGTCTATGTATCGGATCATTGTAGTTCCAGAGTACAGTCGGTTATTGTGGGAATTGCAGTATTTTTTATCTTTTCTGCTGCTGCCATTGCCCTCGGTTTAGGTACTGGTATAAATGATAGCTATCAAAAGCTTATCTTTGTTACTGAATCATTATCGACAACGACTTTCACTACTGTACCATCAACTACAACAAAGATTACGACAACTACTACAACAATCATTCAAACATCTATTACTACTACAACTTCAACATATTCTACAACTGCAACCTCCACGCCTTCTACAAGCAGTACTACAACTACAACCACCACGCCTTCTACAACTAGTACCAGAACTAGTACTACAACTAATACTACAACGAGTACTACACCAAGTACTACAACGAGTACTACAGCTAGCACTGCAACTAGTACTACAACTACAACCTCTACATCTTCTACAACTAGTACTACAACTACAACTACAACTACAACCTCTACCTCTTCTATATCTAGTACTACAACTAGCACTACAACTACAACCACTATTACAACTTCTAGTGCATCTGCATCTGGCTAGTAATACAGTTTCTTCGCCTTCCATAATTGCCATTTTATTTATAAGTTCTACAAGTATTACTAAGATTACAGCGTTTAAAAATAACTAGCGTTATAATTAGATCTTAGCAACAAAGACACCTCTATAACAGCTATTTGTATATGTCGGTATGAATAAAGATATTTTAACTAGCCATATATATTCATATTCGCATGCATAATTACAAATATCATAGAAAAGAAATATTATTTAATTAGAATTTACACTGTAAAATATGATATTATATTTTAGTGAATTTATCGATTCTTCGTTCTTTTCATAAAATATCGTTCATGAATTGATAAGAAACAAAAACTTATCAAGAAATTATGTTGGCACAACAAGACATCAACAATGACATGCTCTCGATTGCTTCCAAATGAATTTTGTTCAAATAACCATACTAGTATAGAGCTACTACGTACGTTATAACAAGCTTCTTCGTATAATTGAACACTATATTGAAGTTAATTTGATTGTACCAGATGAACATATTCGTTATCGTCCATTGCATAAAATATTTCTATGAATAACACATAATCACATTTGGCGCTTATTTGATTTTGAGAAAATAAAGAAAATTTAAATTACATGTAGAAGAAATACAAACTAAAAATGATAATTAATATATTTATTTGTAACTACACTTTGAAATTCTCTGTCAGTGTTGGCACAATTTAATGTTCGTCTATATCATCGATTGGTTTAACCCAATCTGGACGTCGTTTACAATAGAGTGCCATACCAGGTTTCGGTAATTCATCAAACATGCCTAATTTCAGAGCAATTGGACCAACAGATTTTGGATTTTTACCATAGATTGATGAACCACAATTACTGCAAAATGCACGTTGTATTATTGTACCACTATCTGTATTTTTATCTTCGTAAATTTTTGGTTGACCTTCTATTTTAACATCTTTCTCTAGTATATATAGATTATATGATGCAAGACAACCGCCAATTTGACGACAAGTTTTACAATAACATAAACCAATACTATCAGTTTTGTTGAATTCAGTTTGTGAAATAGAAACAGTTATTTGACCGCATAAGCATTTGCTCGATATTGTAGATGTAGTCATTGTTTTTTCTTTATTTTGGTCTTCAAATGAGTGGTGTATAAAGAAGAAAAAACGTAAATGATAAGGAATAACAAAAGAATGTATATTTTATTTCTTAGTCATACACTGTTATTTAGTGAAGAAAAAATTCATATCATGCTCCTCTTTGACTCTATAACAATCAAATGTCAATAGAGCTCACTGCTATTGATTTCGTCTTTATTTATATATTGGAAATATAAATCAATTATATCGTATATGTGTCTGCCCACAATGTATTTTATTATTTACAAATATTGGCTTTACATACTCAATTGTATTTGTAATTTATTAACAACACCTCACTTGATGAAGATAAAATGTCCATTCCATTTGAATTTGTATATAATAAATAATTAAGAAATTAAACTATTGTTTCAACTTTCAGTTGTCTTCCATGACGACACATTTGTTAACACATTGTGCATTTTTTCTTGTTCTTTTCTCTTGTAAAGCCATGCCACGCTTGTTCTTTTTGACGAATTTCTACTCAGTAACAACTAAATACTTAGTAAGAAATGGCAACAACAACGATGAAAGACGCCGATCATGTTCGATTTATGTCCTTAGATAATTTGATTCATTCAATTGAAAATCTTTATTTTGCCTGTGTAACTGTGATTATTATATGTCTAACATCGAGTCTACCTATTAGTAAATTATGTGTTGGTATCATCTATATAAATCAATGTCCAGCACAAACACAAATTCCTGCATGGTTAATAGTATCTGGATGTCGTAGTTTAATTTCTATTATTTTGATATTTTTTATTGTAAGTTTTCGTAATGTTAAATATCTGATTAATTTTATATTGTTATTTATAGATAATCTATGTTAATACAATGGATCATTGTTGCAAAAAGACACCACCTGCTTTTGTAGGACTTGGCATTTCATTTCTTATTATCATATCTTTTCTGTTTCATTTTATATGGTCGATTGTGGTAAGATTTATGAGTTACTTTTA